TCCCGACTCCTCTTTTGTCACCTCCCAATCCTTCTCTAGTTCATAACCTCTTTTATAATTGTTTGTATACACATACAGACACACACACACACACACACACACACACACACACTACTGAGTCCATTCAGGGTCAGGGTTACTCATATGTACATGTTCTGACTGCTTGGAATTGGATAACCTCCTTGGAGTTATCCCTGGAGAAAACTGATTCTCTCTCTCTTAGAAGCCATTCCTACCTGTAGCTCTTCCTCTAGGGACAAGGCCTTATGAAATGTCCCCATCCATATTGGTATGTCAACTGGTGTGGTCATTATGTAAGTTTGGTTTAGGGGACCATATTGTTGAAATTTCATGGGTACAGCTTCTGTGTCATGGCCAGAAGACATTATCTCACAGCAGTGGCCGGGCTCATAAAACCTTTTGCCCACTCTTCTGAGATGCTCCCTGAGCCTTCAGTGTGGGGGTTGCATTATCGATGTACTAATTGCAGCTGGGCATTCCATGGCCATTTACTCTCTGCATCTTGACCTGTTTTGGATCTCTGTTAGTAGCCTATATATGCAGCAAAAAGAAGCATCTTTAATGGGGGTATGGGGGGGGGAGCTATGCTCATATCTGAGTATAAGGATAAGTATTTAAAATACAGTTAGAGACTATATTTGGTTTAGGGAAATGGCAGTAGTTGATTCTCCTCTATGGTCTACGACCTTTACAGCCACACTAAGATTATAATGCCAGCATGAATTTTCTCCTATTGATGGAGTCTTAAGTTCAGTTAGACATGTGTTGGTTACCCCCAAGATAAAAGTGCCACTACTGGGGCTGGAGAGATGGCTCAACAGTTGAGAACACTGGTTGCTCTTGTAGAGGACCTGGATATGTTTCCCAACACCCACATGGTGGCTAACAACCATATGTAACTCCCAGTTCCAAGGGATCCTATGCCCTCTTATAACCTCCACAGGCATTGCACAACACAGGTGCACTTACATACATGCAGGCAATATACTTATACACATAAAATAAAAATAATAAATATGATATCTTTTAAAGTGCAACTATTGCACCTGCTGGGCCAGTAATTGCTGTAGTTCATAGGCTTTATAGCTGGGTTGGACTATTGATAACTTTTCTCCCTGTGCAGCTTGCTTAGCATCTTCTGATATGAGAAGTAGTCCTCAAGGAAGAGGTTTCCAAGTTGGTACCAGCTCCATTCCTCCATGTCTTGTGACCAAAACGTATAATGTCTTAAACAATAGGGTCTTACCTTCGAGTTCTGGGAGGCAACCAAGGGCAACAGCAACAATCTATATCATTTAGAGGTTCTCTTGGAATACCCTCTTCAACTTGAAGGAACGTGTCCTTTGCCTGGCACTAGGGTCTCTATTAGCCTATGGCTCCTGGGTAGACATTATTATTCTGTGTGCCAAGTCCATTTAAACTGTGCATATATGTTTTAAGTAAGCTTATAAAATGATTAATGAACGTGCATGCATGTTCCTCTCATGGGTATTGTGATGGTTAATATTGTCAACTTACAGGATCTAGAGTCTCCTAGGAAACTAATCTCTGGGTATGTATATGAGGAACTTCTACATTATAGTAATTGAGGTGGGAGGATGGACCTTATATGAGGGTGGCACCCCTCCATGGGCTGGGATTCCAGACTGAATAAAAAGGAAAAAGGAAGCTGAACACAAGAATTTGTCATTTTCTGCTTCTTGACTGTCAGTGGAAGGTATCCCGTTACCTCAAGCTCCTGCTGCTCTGCCTTCTCCACCATGATGAACTGTGCCCTTGAACTGTTAGTCAAAATACATACCTACTTTCATTAAGTTTCACTAGGTATTTTGTCACAGCAGCAAGACTAGTACCTGATACATAAAATTGGTACTGACAAGTGGAGTCATTGCTGTGATTACCTGACCATGTGTTTCATAAACCTTTGGGACCAGTTTATTGGAGGGAAATGGAAGAGTTTGGAACTTTAGGTTAGAAAAACTCAGGTATTTGTGGGTGTTTGGAAGCCGTGAGTGCTGAGAGAGAAATGTGGGTCGTGAAAGTCTGGCTCATAGGTTTCAGAAGTGGAACAAGGACTCTATTGGGAAACACACTAGAAATCATTCATGTCATAGTCTGGAAAAAATTGGCTGTATTCCATTCATGTCCTGAGAACTTGAGTGAGGATGAATATGGGAGTAATATATTGTATGATGGAAAAAAATCTCAAAACAGGATAGCATTCAGGCTTTGGCATGGCTCCTACTTACTGCTCTCATCCAGATCTATGGTGAAAGATAGCAAAAAGTGAAGCAGAAAGATGTGAAAATTGGGCAGTTTGGAGAGAAGACAGGGAGTGAGTTTAACCTTACAGACATATTTGGAAGCCACTATAAATGTTGAAGAGATTGGTTCTATTAAAGAGAATTCTGGCATTTTTGTGCTGGGACAGAAGGAAAAGGTACCTTGAGGGCAGGATTCCATCCATCATAGGTCAAATTAGGTAAAAATGTAAATCCATTTGAAAGAGACGTCTAAACTTGGAATGTCACTGTCAATAGGTTCCTTGCTAAGGAGGCATTACCAGAATGAGCTCACAGAAGCTCAAGCAACCGTGGACAAGGAAGTGTAGCTCCACCCCAAGTTGGCAGCAGAACTTGGCATCATCATGCATGTGGTATTGGTTTTGCTGGCAAAAATGAAGAACTGGGGGGGCGGTGCAGTCATGGGGTCTTGTACCATAGTTCCAGAGAGCCAGTAGTAAGTCTGAGAGGCCATTGCTAGAAACTGTGAAAGTGAGACTTAAGTTGCAATAGATACCCCTGGATGTTGGCAATGCCAGAACCATCGTTGTCCACTAAAGAAAGCTGCAAGTACAGAGTAGAGGATGTGTAAAAGAGAGATTATGTTTATGGCAGGGAGCAGATCTGGGGAGGGTAGGGCTGCCCAAGATCTTCAGAGCCTAAATGATCTGAGCCATCAAAACCCCCAGATACTGGATATGCAGCTGCAGGATTTGGTGTTTTCCCAGCTCAGTTTTGGTTCTGCTTTGATCTGATCATTCCTTGCTATGCCCTCAACTCTTTTTGGAATGGGAATCTTCATGTGCTAGTGTCTGTTGGATGTGTGCAAGTTGGGTTTTAATTATACATGGGCTGACAGTTCAGAGATTGCCTGAGTCTCAGAAGACTCTACACTTAAAGATCTGAACAGTGTTGTAACTGTTAAAAACTATGAAGACTTTTGAAGTTGGACTAAACACATTTTGCATTATGAGCTGGCCATGGGTCTCTGAGGACTAGAAGGTAATGTAAAACTGCTATGTTGAGCTGGGTCCAGACTGAATTAAAAGAAAGTGGGCTGAGACTCGGCATTCAACACTCTTTGCTCCCCGACTGGCCATGCAATGCAGCCAGCTGCTTCATGCTCCTGTCACCATGACTTCCCTGCCGTAAAGCCTGTACTATCCAACTACCCGCCAAGAAAGTAAGCCCTTCTCTCCTTAGAATGCGTTCCTCGGGTATTTTGTTGCAGCAATAAGACATGTAACTAATACAAGCATGCCAAACAAAAATGTTCCTGTCGTCTGTTTTCCTAAAAATCAAACCGCTGATGATGCATTGCCCTCTTCATTCAGACATTTGCTTACTTTTAATCTACAATGGCTCATTTGCGGGTTGTTGCTGCACCTGTACAAAGGCGCTTCACATACTCCTCTCCAACAGTCCACCTCATTCCCGTCAACCTGAAACTGTCCCACTTCCACCTATTTATCCACACTGTTCTGGGTTTCTCTTTGTGTCTGCACAGCTGTTTGTTTCAGCTCTTCGTACAGCTCTAGGCTCAGATCAATAAGATCTGAGCACAGTTGCACCGTGTAAGGCCCAACAGAAAGCGGCCGCATGCCCGCTTGCTTTCTCACTTTCCAGGGTTAGGAGTCAGGCGCGGCCCCGGGCTTTTTAAGCTAGGAAGGTCTACCAGGCGGAAAAAGGGTCTGGGACAGCCAGGAGGGACAGACTGCTGCAAGACAGAGGGGGCTCCCCAACCCCAACCCCCGGCCGCCGGAAGTTCCCGCCGGGAGCAGGAAGAGCTTCCGGGCGCAGGCGCACTCCGGCAGAGTCGGAACGGGACGCCCGAACCAGGAGGCCGGGTCGGGGCGCGGGCAGAGTGGCCGCCAATGGCGGCGGGTTTGTTTATCCCGGGGAAGAAGTTAAGCGGCAGAAGAGAGGTAGGAGTGCTGCGGGGAGGAGGATGCGGCTCAGTAGAGGCGCCCACCGCAGGAGCTCGTCGCCGCCCCAGCCTCGGCTCCCAGGGCCGCCCAGGGCCCGCTCGCCGCCCCGCGTCCGGGTAGGTGCTCCCGCTCCCCTCGTCCCGGCGGGTGCTTCGGCTCCCGCTCCTGGACCCACCCGGTCGGCTACGCCGGGCCTCCGCTCCGGTTTGCATCCCCACCGCGCCCCAGTCCTCTGGGCAGCCAAGGCTGCGCCTCCGCGTCCTCTGGCCCTGCGTGCCCTCACTTCCTCCTCTTCCCTCTTGTCTCTCCATCTCACGGGCATGTTTTTCCTCCATAGAACTCTGCTCTCACCTGAATTCCCCAGCTTCTGTCCGCTGCGTTCACTTTTGGTTTCCTCTTGGAACCTCGCCCCTTTTGCTCTTGCATAACTTCTCACTTTTCTAAAGAATCTGCGCCTGCACTTTTATACAGCTGCAGCTGCACACTTCTTGCTTACCGTCTTCGTCTGCCCTTCTCATAATCAAATGTTTGATCTGTCATCCTCGTTAGCTCATTTGGGGGGCAATGTTGCAGCTCTTCAGACTATGCAGGGGTGTCTTCTGCGTCTCTTAAGAAGACTTGCTTCCTCGTAACTTCTCATATTTACTAGGATATGGCAAACTAACCCTGTATTTCAGGAAGTCTTGAATATCAAAAATTTTCCTTTTATATCTTGCTGCTGCCTTTCCTTCTAAGTCTTTCTTTAATCTGTGTATTTGCATGCTGATTCAAAGCAGAAGGGTGATAGAATTTTCTTCCTCAAAGCAATCGATGAGCCCTGTAGAAATAAAATTCATCTTTTGTACTCCGTACTTTTCACTTCTGTGACAGAATACTGTGGTTCAATTGTCTGCCATTCTTCCAAGGTTTCTAATACTTTGACTTTATTTGAGTAATGCTCGACCTAGTTTGTCCCCTTAGGAGACTCTTCTTCCCCATTCTTCCTTACAGTTGAAATCCACTCTTTATTGGACTTGAAACTGAAGTAGTGAAAGATCAAAACCTTAGAAAATTACCTTTTTCCATTATGAGAGCAGCAGAATATTTCAAATAAATGTTGTCCAGTAGTTAAGGCTCAGACAGCGTAGTTGAATTGCCAGGGGTCTGAAGTCCTGCCCTGCTGCCTATATTCTGGGTTTGAACAAGTCAGTTTATCTATTTAGTAGTCTTACTGCTGTGCATGGGATAGTGGGGCTGGAGAGATGGCTCAGCGGCTAAGAACACTGAATGTTCTTGCAGAAGACCCGGGTTCGATTTCCAGCACCCACATGGCAGCTAGCAACTGTCCCTAACTCCAGTTCCAGGAGATCTGACACCCTCTTCTGATCTCTGCAGGTATTGCACCACACGAGTGCACTTGTATACATGCATGCAATACATGCATACACATAAAAATAAAACAAAACAAAAAAACCTCTATGGTAGTGCTTGCACAAGTTGATTCAGTTAAAGTACCTGACTGTGCCTGGTTAAAGTTACTGCCTTTACCTGGGATATGGTAAAATCTTGGACAATGTTACCTTTGTCATTACTTCTTAGCCTGATTTGTTTGGATTATTGCTAAGTTGATTCTAAGAAAGGAAGGTAGGAATGCAAGGTGGCATATTTTTTGCCTCGACCCCTTTTTTTGGTGCGTATATTCTGTTTCATTGTATAAGTTAATATTTCTTAAAATACAGAGTTTTAGCTTTCTTTATTTACCCTATTTTCAAATAGGGAAATAGGCAAGCTCCTATTTCAAATATTTGTTGGGAATTTATTTTTTAAATTTGTCTTATCTTTAAAAAAATTTTTATTTTATTTTTATTTATTTTTTGTCTTTTTTTGAGACAGGGTCTCCTTGTAGCCCCAGCTGTCCTGGAACTCAGTATGTAGACCAGGCTGGCCTCGAACTCACAGAGATCCACCTGCCTCTGCCTCCCAAGTGGTTGGACTGAAGGTGTGTGCCACCATGCCTGGCTTGTTTTTTTATTTTTTGGTCTTTTTGAGACAGGGTCTCCCTGTAGCCCCAGCTGTCCTGGAACTGACCATGTAGTCCAGGTTGGCCTAGATCTCACAGAGATCCGCCTGCCTCTGCCTCCGGAGTGCTGAGATTACAGGCATGCGCCACCAGGGAACTTCTAAAACTTCACTATCATTTTGAGAACAAATGAAGTGACGTATGTATCGGATTCATCACAATGGAAAATGACATGACAATTTTAGTATTGAATTGCAAGTTAAGTACGCAAAGCTGATTCCATAGTCTTCATGCTTGACCTTTTTCTTGAATAAGATAACATAAGGTGAACTTTGCCTTCTTTTAAGACTGGTGGCTTTTTTTCTTTTACCTGTTATGTTCGTTCAACAAGCTTTTGCTTGATATTTACCAAACATACTTACCTTGTAAAGTGCTGACAGGTTTTTGTGTGTTTTTGCCTCATTTGACCACCTCCTGTGAACCATCACGTAATATATTTTTGATTCACTCTAAACAAAAAATCTAAGTAGATATTTACTTACTTTAGTGTTATAAATAATGAAAATTTGAACTGTATTTGCTGTCCTAATTACATGTAAAGTATGCACATACATGTATAAATTACTGTCTTATTGCTGTGATAAAATACCATGACCAAAAGCAGCATATTAAAGAAAGTTTATTTTGGCTTATGGTTCTAAGGGAGCACGGGTAAATGACAGGTGAGGTAAGGGAGCAAGCAGCAGGAGCAGGAAACTTACACATTTGTCATTCAACTACCACATTCCACTCCTGGCCCCCATAAGCTCATGGCTAGTCCATAATGAAAAATATATACAGTCCAGCTTCGAAAGTTGCATAATCTTTAATAGTCATCAACACTGTTCAGAAGTCCAAAGTCTCTTCTAAGACCCCAGCCACTCTCTTAACTGTGACTTCCCCCACCCCCTGTAAAATAAAAAAAGTAAGGTACATACTTCCAACATACAATGTCAAAGGACATACATTCCCATTCCAAAATGGATGAATGGGGCATGATGAGGAAATACTGGACCAAAGCAAGACTGAAACTCAGCAAGGCAAACACCAAATATTGTAGTTCTATGTCCAAAACCTTAGGCTTTAGTTACAGTGGGCTTATTGGCTCCACCTCGCCAGTTTTGCTGCCTGCAACGTACATTTTTCTCTTGGGCAAGTTCCACTGTATGTAGTGATCTTTGGCAGATGTCCTCACACTTCTGGCATTTCCAACATCTTGGGGTCTTCACTACAACCCAGGCTTTATTTTCACAGGATCATGCAGTGGCCTCTCCATCCTTGCCACAGGTTGCCTGGCCTCAGTGGCTCACAGAAAACATGGAGCAAGAGCCCATGACACCCCCCCCACATTTCTGTATCGTTCATGCCTCCAAAGCCCCACATGACATTACTTCCAAGTTTAGCAGCCAGCTGAGGGTGGACCTTGGCTGGCTTGGAACACATAAGCACATTAGCAGCAGCTTTTTAAAATATTTATTGAGTTTTTGTGCATTTCATGTAATAGATGTTCATCAAATTTTGATCCCCTCCCCAACCACATTCCCCATACTCCCCCCACCCCCATCAGATTGCATGCATTCTTTCATATATGTTAAGTGAAATCTGGTCAACCATTTGTATCCAGATGTCCTTTGGTGCAAGTTCATCCACTGAAGTCTAGTCAGCCAATCTCAAGTCACACCCTTAAAGATCTACTCTACCTCACCCAGCAGTAGTCGTTGCCAATAGTTCCTTGGCTAGGGTTGAGGACTGCTTCCCATTTCCCTTGTTCTATGCTGAATTTTTGTCTGATTGAGTTGGCATGGGCCTTGTGTATGCTGTCACCATTTTAAGTTCATGTAAGCAAGTTCCCTGTTTCCTTATGTTCATGCATTAACCCTGGCTCTTATAATCTTTTTGGTCTCTCTTCTGTAATGGTCCCTGAGCCATGGGTGGGTGAGGTTTAATATAGCAGTCCTGTCCAGGGACACATACTCTACTGTCTTTTGTTCTCTAAAACTTAGCCAATTGTGGCCTTCTGTGTGCATCACACTCTGTTGTATGAGGAAGCTGGTGAGAGTTGAGGGATATATTAGTATTTCCTCTACCCCCTATTTCACTATATCCCATGAACCTTAGATGTAGAGGTTCCACTGTAGATATGTCACTTAGGACTGGGTATCTCTCAAACATCTATTCTCTGTGTGTGACCATTATAGAACTCTGTAATAGCCTCCATCTGTTGCAAAAAGAAGTTTTGACAAGCGGTGTAGGGTATACTTCTCTGTAAACATTAGAATCCATATTTAGCATACAGTAAGAAATTCATTTGTCTAGGATCCATGACCACTACAGCCATGTGTATTTGACTATATTTACAGTGGCACTCATGAGTTCCCATTGAGAGGGCTTTATGTCCAATTAGATAGCTGTTGATTACCCTCTAGATAAAAGTGCTACTGCTGCACCAATAGAGATAGTTTGCTGTGCCAGTTATTGTGGTTATTAGGCTTTAGAGCTAGGTTGGACCATTGATTGATTTTTTTCCCCCTAGCAGCTGGCATAGTATCCTCTAGAACTGTGAGAGCTAGGCTTGAGGGAGGAGGCTTCCAAGTCAGTTCCAACTCCATTGATACAAGTCCTGTGTCCAAGTATGTCCTGGCTTCACCAATAGGGTCTTACTTTCAAGTTCTGGGAGGTAATCAAGGGCTGTGGCAATATCCTGTGTTATTTTGGGAGTCTTTTGGACCACCCTGACTAACAGGTTGAAGGGAGGTTTCTCCTGTCTGGCACTGTGTTCCTTCTTTTTTTTTTTTTTTTTTTTTTTTTTTTTTATTGATACAAGTCCAAGTATGTCCTGGCTTCACCAATAGGGTCTTACTTTCAAGTTCTGGGAGGTAATCAAGGGCTGTGGCAATATCCTGTGTTATTTTGGGAGTCTTTTGGACCACCCTGACTAACAGGTAACAGGGAGGTTTCTCCTGTCTGGCACTGTGTTCCTTCTTATGTAGCTTTCAGGTATACACATGCACTAATGTTCAGATATTGTATGTGTATTTTTCAGGGGTTTCTGAGTTAATACAGTTCCCTCTGATTTTT